AACATTGCGGGTGTGGAGGGGAGTGGCGAGGAGGTGCGTACTGGCTCCGTATCCATCTCCCCTTCTCCCCCTGACACACATGAAAGCTTCCCACCGGGCTTGGACACCAATGCATTCAGGGACCTGCTGCACCACAGGACTCCTAGATTACACCACCTACTTGACAGGACTGACTGCAAGACACTCCCGAACCTACTAGAGGGATCCACCCCCACCGCCCTACACCACCTTAAATACAGACAACTACAAAGCTATGTACGCACCTTCCCAGGGGGCACGGCACGGACGCGAGACCCCACCACATTTGAACGAATGTGCATAGACCCCGACCCCCAACCACACAGGATCTCGCTCATCTACTCCATGCTCCAGAGGGAAACCTCGACGGAGAAACCTAAGTTCATTGGGATGTGGGAACAAACACTAGGTAAAACCTTCACGGATGGAGACTGGGAGAAGATGTGCTACCTAACGCATTACTGTTCGGTCTTCAGCAGGACACAAGAAACAGCGTTCAAGCTGCTAACGAACTGGTATCGCACCCCAATCACACGCCACGCCATAGACCCAGAACACACTGACCTTTGCTGGAGATGCAGCAAAGAGACCGGCAGCACGCTCCACCTCTGGTGGGACTGCGAGGCCATCCAACCTTTCTGGAAGGGCATACACGATCTCATCCAAACATTTTCAGACGCACCACCACCCTTCCTCCCAGAAACCATGCTCCTACACCACACAAAGACCCCCAGATCCCGCTACAAAAATTCACTAACCATACGAATACTGAATAGACCCCGACCCCCAACCACACGGGATCTCGCTCATCTACTCCATGCTCCAGAGGGAAACCTCGATGGAGAAACCTAAGTTCATTGGGATGTGGGAACAAACACTAGGTAAAACCTTCACGGATGGAGACTGGGAGAAGATGTGCTACCTAACGCATCACTGCTCGGTCTTCAGCAGGACACAAGAAACAGCGTTCAAGCTGCTAACGAACTGGTACAGCACCCCAATCCCACGCCATGCCATAGACCCAGAACACACTAACCTTTGCTGGAGATGCAGCAAAGAGACCAGCACCAAGCTCCACCTCTGGTGGGACTGCGAGGCCATCCAACCTTTCTGGAAGGGCATACACGACCTCATCTAAACATTTTCAGACGCACCACCACCCTTCCTCCCAGAAACCATGCTCCTACACCACACAAAGACCCTCAGATCCCGCTACAAAAATTCACTAACCATACGAATACTGAACATAGCTAAACAATTCTGGAAGCAAACAGTAACCCCTCAGCTGACCACATGGTTCTCCCAAATGGAACCAACACCTCAGATAAATATTTGGAAATCTGGCCACACTGGCTACTGACGACTACCAGGGCAAATTTCATAAATAGGTTCAAATATGACGCATAAACAGTGAGCAGCGGGACCGCGCAGACCGGTAAAACAGGAGACGAAATAGACCAAGAAGCCTCCCGACAGTAACCCACTCCCCCACGGACAGTCCACCCCCTCAACCCCTCCCACACACAACTCAACACGAACAACAAGAGCAGACAATCAGACCCACTAAAATACCACCTTCAGGGGTCACCCACGACTGCATCAACCTACACGGAGCCACACAACTGCACGGAGGTACAACCCGCAGAAGTAGGCCGCACCCACAGACGGCTGACACCAAGCCTACACCTAGAGCCCATGTACAACCTATACGCCACCATAAAAACCATCCAGGCTTGAACGGCAGCACAGACACGGAGAACACAGCATGACTTCATTAAACAAAGGCACTGCCAAACACATACCTGACGACCCGAGAGCGGACGCGTCCAACTAAGATGCGGACAAGGGAAATAACCCAACAGACATAATACAGCTGAACCATATTTTACCGCATTACACATCTACAGCTAATACCATTAAACCTAAAATGGGCCTGCGTGCCACATTAAAGAGGCTCGATGCGAGATCTGCGTATCTCAAGTTCTATCTCAGGTGTTTCCACTAATCCTAGACATTTGAGTTCCTGCTATAATATTTAACATACTTCATGAGGCCTGCGAGTCTCAATGTTACTTATTCTTTTTGAAAAATAAATAAAATTCGTATTTAAAAAAAAAAAAAAAAGAGAAACATTGTAATAGGAATTTCTGAAATATTTGCAAAGGGATCGCAAATTATAGGCCAAAACCACCGAATGGCAAAATGCTCCAATTTAACAGTTAATGTTCCTATCCCGGTTATTTTGGCGTTAAATGGCAATTCTCAGTAATTCCTAGTCTGTAATACTCTTCAGTTTCAAAAGCACATTGCATTTGTTCTATGCTGGTTCTTCCTATCTAAATATTATCGAGCCCTGCAATAATTCCTTTTGTAAAAAGCCAGCAGTTAAAAAAAAAAAAAAAAGAGTAAAAATGCAAAGAATCTCGGCTCCCTCAGGTCCGCACATCTCAAGGTCTTGCTGTCTTTTTCCTGATTTGGCCTTAACATGTTTTTTCGGCTAGCTCTCCATGTACAGCCTTGCACCCTGCTGATTCATTCCCCAACCAGGTTACACAGCGCATTTCACATTAAAGCGAAGAGGTCATAAACAAAGCGAAGGAGGGGAGAGAGTGGATTATTTTTTTATAGGTAGTATAAATAATTGCAAACCTGTATATCATAATTGGAATGATAAAACAAATGTTATTTTCACTGTCTAGCAGTTGTGGTGAACTCCTCACCCAATGACGGCAACCTTTGGCATCTTAAACATTTGTGAGTTACATTTAGCATGAAGTTCTGTCAACTGTTCGAATATTGAAGGAGCAACGTTACCAAAGAGTAGCTTAGACTAACTTCAAAACCTACTTGTCTCTACAGCTGAATGCATTGGAAGTATATGTTGAGATAAAGATTCAAAGCAGGTTTGAAGCCTGTGCATGTTTTGAATAAGAAAGGACACCTCATTGAGCTGGACCTTCACTGTGGTCGATAACGTAGGTTATAAGCCTAAGGCTGTTAATGCTGTGTATTAAATGCCGTGACATTGTAAAGGATATGGCTACGTAACATATTAGTGGTATTTAAGAATAGACTGGACGTGAGGTTAATGCACTAGGTGGAGAGTTGGCAGGACCTTGGGGTGTTCATGGTATTACCAGTGATCCCACTTGCAAAAACAGACAGACAAAGCATCCCGATCGGAACAGAGGGGAGCCAACAATTCTCTTACTGGCGGCTTAGTCTACACACTGTGCAGATACCAATGTGTTGTCACACACCTCCTTCTGGCCATCAATAAATTAAATTCCGTGAATTACTAAAGAAATTTGCAAATATCACCAGAACTGAGACATGCCCATATAAAATTATTGTACAGCGCTTTAGAATGTGTTGGTGCCTTCCATGGCACTTTCTAATATTACTTGTGCCAGAAAGAGAAATAATTCCTGTCTGATGTGGATCCCCGGATAGCAGTATGGTCCTGGGCAAACCTTGGCAATGCCTATTAGGAATCCTCACAGTGACTGGCAGCGGTATACATAACGAATGTGCTTTGAGATCTCTCACCGCTATCAAAGCATGAAAATAAAAACTGCCAAATACAACTGCAGAAAGTGGCTGTAGATTTTTATTTGCTTCTAACACCAATGTCATGCCAAAACATGAGCTGGCATTTGATGAGTTATGAGCTGTTTTTGTAGGTTTTGGGATAACCTTTATTGTGGGCTTTGATCGATCACCAGGCCTAAGCCATAAAACTACTAAGATAACCATCACCAGAGCTGGACATAGGGCATTGGATGATCTGACATTGGGGTCTTCAAAGGACAACATAGTTTAAGAAAATATTGAGTGGGCAACAAACTGCCAGGCCAAACCCCTCTGATTCACCCAGGGGTCTGCCCACTGAGAAACAACTAGTTTGAGATAAATAATGAGGATGTTGGATTATCCAGGAGAGATTTATTTTTTCAATAACTACTTGGAGACTTGTAACATCTGAATCTTCGACAAGAATGATATACAAGCGGTAAATATATGTAAGGTATTCCTCCCATTTTATTATATGGACTGTTCTGCAATTTGTTCTCTGTGTTTCTGTATGTCATTTATTTCTGTATTTTTGTACCCAGCTCTGTGATGTTAACTTAATCAGCTTGTGTCTGTTCTCTATGGGTTCACCCTCCTGAGGAAGGCTCAGGTAAACACGTTACCAACAGGGTTAATTATATATGTCTGATCGGTAAAGTAAGGTTGTGATCCTATAATTCTACTGTGTGTGGGGTAACCTAAGATGCCCCAATATAAAGTCTTGGTGGTGGCAGTAAAGTGTGTACTAGGGTGTCAGTGTGGAAGGTATTGCAGGGGTTAATTTAGTGGTTGCTGGGACTAGCAACAGGTAACCAGGCGTCTGGTGTCATTAACCCTTTCACTTCCACACTCTCCACACTGTCTCCGCTGGGCCAATAGTCCACGTTCGTGACAACCAATAAATATCAATACTTCAAGGCCAACAGAGAAGGTGAAGCTAGCTGAAACAATGTCCTCAATCATTTTGGCCTATTATGGGTTACATTGGCTAGCTGGTCTGTCAAGAAACATTTATTTTAATCAAATAGACTAAAACAAGTTTTCTACATTTGGATCATTAGCGTGCATAAGGCAAGTCGCTTCCATCCATCCCACAAGTTCAGATCAGTCGAGGAAAAGTCAGTGGAAGTTATTTACAAGGATCAATCCTGGAGCAAAGTTCTAAAGGTGGGGCAATCTCCGTGGAAACAGCCACAATCATTGCTCTAACTTGGCCCAGGCTTGTTCTTTATATATAAAAGTCAATACGTGGGCAAGCTGTGCCGTATTGGCTTGCTTTATATAGCTTGCGTTAACCTAGTCAACTATCTGGAATACAGTCTCTTCACTCATTAAATTCTCCCAGAATCTCGCCACGTATACTTGCAGCACAATGCTGTGTTTTGTCTTTTAAAAATCTCTGCTTGCACCTTGGTACATCCGATGCTATATTTACTTTCCTTTCAAACACCGCCTCAGCCTGATCTCCAACACTGGCATTCTGCGTACGCTCGTACGTCCGACTAAGCTGTCTCTCAGACTCTGCAATACCTGTCGCCTGGTTTATGAACCATATCGGAGGATTTTCCTTGGCGTATCTAACAACCAGACCGATGTAATGATCTGTTACCTCTGCCTAACAACTTATAGCTCAGGAATATGTCTTTCCAACTGGAGGGCGACTACAAAGCCCAGTATCCTCAGCCAGTTGATGCAGAAAAAGTAAACTCTCCTCTTAATGGGAGTTGCAGTTCAAAACGACAGCAGCATGAGGTGTTTTTAATTGATTTTGCTTTCTGTTACAGTGGATCGGAAACTTGTCTTTAATCGAGAAGCAGTTTATTTATTTTAGGGATTATAGGGCACATTATGATGTTTTGTTGGGAGTTTTCATTTACTAATTAATGATCCCCAATATATAATTAACACTCTGCACCTTTAAAGCCAAACTCTAGATGTAATTAACATTTAAACATTGATTTTAGAAATGTATTGTGTGCCATTGCTAAGGTTTGAAACTTCTTGCAGCTATCGTTGGAATGGCTTTAGAATGGACAGCAGTTGTTAAATCATTTCCTCTTCTTGGTGGGGAGGGGGCGATGGGGGTTAGGGACTTTTAAGTGACTCATATAAGTATGCAGTAATTTAGCTAACAATTTGCTAATAACATTTCCCAACTGATCAGCGACTCGCATTGTCCATCTCGATAATGATGGGAACCTAACTCTGCTTTCCAGCTTTTAGGACAAAGATTCCTATCCCACCCGCGTACACAGGACTTTCACTGTGAGAGAGCACTTATCCACTTATAAAGTGAGCCCAGAGTTCTGCTGCCGAGCTGAAACTCAAAGTCTGTCCAAAGTGGGGTCAATTCATTATTTAATGACTTTAACTCACCTTTCTTGGTCTTATAGTCGGGGGTGCTCATTCGAAATTCAGTTTTCACGCACAATGACACCCCCCACATTAACAAACAGTGAGACAGTAAATCGTGTGTCTGGAACTCAAAACATAAAGCACGAACATACCCCCGAGGTTAAGTTATAGTTTGACCAAATTACAGAATAAAACCAGGTTTATGTTAAGCGTTAGTGCCAGACGGCCTTGCTTCTCAGAAACATCTCACCTCGGCCAAGAACCTTTTTTTTAACAAGAGGTCAATGTCAGTAAAATATCTGAAAAATAGCAAAAACAAGTCTTCACATCAGACGGGCGCTGTTACTGTCCGAGCACTCGTTATATTATCATTGTTATACAATACTAGGGTTATATGTGTGATTTGTCAGATCTATAACAAGTATATAACATGTTTAAACAAGGATGAAATATATAAATTACACCAACCAATCAAAATCGTGGTCTAAGCACCATGTGGGACACACAGCAATTCGCACAGACAGAATGGGGTAGATTGACGACAGAGCCGTCCATGTACCATCAGATCCGATACTGGCAATGCGCGATTGTAGATAATATTGAATATATTATGTATAACGACTTGTTTAGCATAGCTTTCTATTACAAGGCACAATGCTTGTTTTATTGTGAACTTGTTTATTGATCTAATATTAAATAACTGCGTTGTTTGAACTCAGCAATCCTTCAGAGGAACTCTCATATATTAAACGTTTGCTGTCCACTTGTGTTCTATGAAATGAACAGCGAGCTATATAATTGATCGCATTACAAGGGGTTTGAACACTGCAGCTCCTGCGGCAGCAGAATAACAATATTATTTTGCCATTTCTATTTAATTTTGTTAATTTTATGCATTGCTATTTCATCTGTAATCGTATATAGACCAGACTATATTAACATACAATGTATCACCACATAGTGAGTAATATTATCACTATTTGTATGTAACTACTTTTGAATAAATGTTAAAGGAACTCTCCCACCCCCATAACACCTTAAAGTTTCTCATTTAGATTTTTATGGTGGGAGGAGAGTCTGGGCACATTCTTAATTTCAAGGTTAAAATGTTTGATACTGGTTGAACACCATTAGGGGCCCAGGTACCAGCAGCCTCCCTTTGAAAGAACGGAAGCCAGGAAGCAGAAGTTCTCATGAACGTGAGAGAGTCCTTCACTGATGTCGTCTCCTGTCAGATGAGATGAAGAGAGAAGATGGCGACATCCACAAAGCTTCCGGTTAGTCAGTATAACCGAATTTAGAAGTCGTACACGGAGCATTGCGGTTAGTTACATGGATATATGTTACAAAACATACAAAGACCTCTGACATGACCGAGCCACTTTAAGATTACTGTGATCACCGAAATGAAGAATGTCACCAGGCCTCTGAAATCTTTATTTCCCTTTCTATTGCTTCACGCAGAGAGCATGCTCATCATATTGCATTAGCCAAACCGGCCAATCAGTCTGACAGTCAACACTGCAAGCCAGTGGTGTGGCCAACCGATAAGAAACGTATTATTAGCAGACACATTCAGCCCGTTACTTCTAACAGGTCATTAATAGAATGATACAATGTCTCAAGCATTGGTGACCATGTACACCCGCGGTAGCTACAGCCAACAGTACATAGATTATTACATATCATATCAGACTGGGTCCAAAAACATTACCGAGACATGAAACATTTACTCCAAAATCAATCCGTCCTTGAGTTTGGATGAACACTATATTTATATATTAAATCGCTTCCTTCCGCTAAGCACACAAACAAAGCTAAAACAGTGGCTTGGATTTTTTATATTACAAGTAAATAGCATATTTCTGCTAATAAACCATTCTAGATGCTTCCTGGATTAAACGAACAAACCTTGGTTTAAGTGGTACCGTCACAAAGACATGTCTTCCTCTCCTGATCTCTGCATAGACTGAGTAACATGCGGCTAATTTAAACAGCCGATAATGTAACAAATAACAAAACCAAGTAACAATATGTCTGGCCATAGCATCACTCTTACTAACCTCGATCCACTTACAATGTTCTCAATATCTTGTCAGACTGGGGATCAGGGACTGAATTCTATATAGCGAGTAGGGTTAAAGGGACGTGACAGAGGGCACAAAGAAGACTATGTTGCTTTTAAAAAAATGCAGCAAATACAATACGATTAACATCGGCGTTTACATATAAAAAGATTCCCATCAGAAAAATATACTGCGGCAAAAGAGAAAAGTGATTCAATGTTTAGCTTTGTTGTCAGAAATTATATAAAATTGGCAGAAAATATGTCCATTTTTATATCACTTTATTGAACTGCAGTTCTTTGCCACGCTGAATCTGGTGTTATGTGCAGTGTACGGAATGGTGAAAACATGACATTAAAAACCTCATCTCATATAGATATCCATGTAAAGAACGAAACGACACAAACATGACAAACAGAACATGCACACTAACGGATATCGGACCGTTATAGATACAGAGCCTCTCTGGTTTGTGAACACGAGCAGAAAATAATATTTATATTGCATTATCTATGATCCCTATTCATTAAAAACTTCTGCCCATAGCTGGCTTAGCATTATGAGAGTTGTAGTGCATGTTTGAGCAGATCCCTTATCACCCTCTTTGATTGCCTCTGCATTATGCCAGGTTTAATTTATAAAATCATCACGTAATTGAAGAAGACGACATTCAATAAATAATAAGGTCAGGGCTGGACAGATGCATGTATAATTTAGGATTCAGGCTGAGAATCATATTCATGTCAGCTTAATAAATATACATACATTTTGTAGGTCCCCACTGGACACCGTATTAATCAGGTTATAAACGGTTTATTGCACTCTTAAAAATAATTCAAATGGACAAAGAGGGACACTTTCATTTTAGGGTTGAGAGTGTGTGTGTGTGTGTGGTGACCAATTTATGACCAATGGCTTGACTTAAAAGCCCATTTTTTAGTTTTAGGGTCATTTGAGCTCACCCTGCTAAACTAGACTTCAATGGACACATGATCATATTATTATTATTATTGCCATTTATATAGCGCCAACAGATTCCGTAGCGCTTTACGATATTATGAGAGGTAGGAGGTAACTATAAATAGGACAATTACAAGAAAACTTACAGGAACAATAGGTTGAAGAGGGCCCTGCTCAAACAAGCTTACAGACTATAGGACATAGACCAAACACACACATCTCCCAACATGTCACATGGACAAAGGGGGACACTTTAATTTAAAGGGTGTGGCTATGCTCCCTATGCTATGGGAGGTATTGTAGACAACTAGTGAGAATCTAGTGAGGTTGTATTGCGATGTATACAATAAGCTATTGAAGGTTGGGTGACTCAGAAATAAAAGTATGGGTCTCTGACCTAATGCTATGAACATAAAGTGCATCCCTGTCAAACAAGGTTAAGGATCGCTGACCTAACAAATCACGCCAATAATGGATGACAAGTTCACTTTAAATGTCCCAAAATCATACACGCAGAATCAATCGATTGAACAGCAATCTGTTCATCAAAAGCCAAAACAAATGGTGAGGAGTGGGGGGAGAATAAGATGTCAGTCGCTAAAGAAAAACTCCAATTACACTTATGGGAGCAGGAGCCTCTCTGACTCCATGACAGCAATTAAAGGCATAGATCACTATCAGCAGTAAACGCACCGCTTTACCGCAGAGCTTACAATTCACATGGTGCGCTGCCGGCTTTACAAAGGAAGTAAATATCAGCATTAATGATATTAAAGAGAAACGAATAAAAGGCATTAAAGGGAAATAAAACTAATTACATATATTGTTGATTTTTTTTGTTTGTTTTTAAACCTTTGCTAGTCGACATTTTGATATGTTGCAATCTGTTAATTGTATTAATATAATCATTAAGATAAGTCTTCGGAGAGAAATGTATGTTTTCTTATCTAGCAGCTATCTCCAGCGAGCAATAAATCACTTAATTGCCTTATTGATGTAATTGCTTGTAAAGTGTTGCATTAATAAGCTGATGTTTAAATAGCAATTTCCCAGCATGCACCTGGCAGGTTCTTTAAGGATTCCTATGAAGTCACACACCGATATCACAGCTCAGGTGGTCCGGTGTGTAACTGCCAACAAATTGGGGGTGATCTCTGTACCCACAGTTTCAAATATAAGAATTGTTTTTCTTTTTA